ATACAACTAAATTTGTATAGCTCTTTCTTTGAAAAATAATAAAGATATCATATGACAAATAAATCATTTGACGTGAATTGTAAAGGAAAACTATGAAAAAAATCTGTTTCAAAATAAAAAAAAATTTTTTTATAAAACAGCTGTTCTGTATGCCAATAAAAATTTCTTCTTTGCCAACCTAATGAATTCATCTATATATGAACGCTTGTCTAGAATGATCTGAAAATGAATTTGATACTCTAATTAGTAGAAAACTTACTATATTTATACTAATATACAGGTAATAAAATAAAAAATGTACAAATCATTTGGAAATAATTCACAGAAATAAAGACAAATTTCAAACATGAATTTCTTTAAAAGTTTTTGAGCAATCAAGAAACATTTTTTTGCAATGCACCCATTAAATCATGTACAAAAGAATTATTTTAATTTGAATCGCGGTAATAATTTGTGCTTGAAATAAAAGGGCGTCAAAGTGTAGAGAGTATGCCTAAATAATAGGCGAATATTTTTTTAATTAGGTACTTTTTTAACTTAGCGTTGCATCGTTCTATCGGCATATTTTCATATATTAATACTTTAGCGACACAAAATAATACTGTATCAATACATTCATATGTGTATAATTTTTCACAAAGCTGCAATAACACCACATACTCTTGTGAAAATCTGTCATATTTCGCACTCGGCGCGTTCCACCAGTCCACCTTTATCCGATGTGTGATTATGCGCATGCGTGCGACGAGACTTTGAGGTAAACGAAAGTGTCCGATCCTTGTAATATAAATCCGTGATATAAGCAAACACTGTCTGTTGATGCCAGTTTTTTTTGCAAGAACAGCATGGCATGTTGCAAAACCTTTTTCAAGGAAGATGATGGTGAATGTTGACATTGCCAAAAGACATGACAAACACTTTATACATACTCTGACATTACTGTTGTCCTTCATTAAAAGACATCACATTTTCTTTTTTTAACAGTTTGACGTTTATCGAAAAATGCGAAGTCTTTCCATAACTGGCTAATTTCCCATAGCACAAATCGACACGCTTCTCAAGTTGATTTGAATTTACCAGTAAATCACAACTAAATGCTATTTATCACAAAAAGCGATTTGGCTAATTTCCCATAGCACAAATCGACACGCTTCTCAAGTTGATTTGAATTTACCAGTAAATCACAACTTAATGCTATTTATCACAAAAAGCGATTGATTACATAAAAGACGGAAGCATATTTTCCCAAAAACTGTAAAAATATGCAAAAATTACTCACGATTAGTAGTTTATTTATCCATATATTTAAGAAGACACATGAAAGACATTATGTATTGACATTATATATTGGAAATTCCCGGTCATGCTGTGACGTCAAAAACAATAGTACGAAATTAGTCTGAACGAAAACTTTTTCTGTTGTGTTTTAAGACGCTTACAGGTGCACGTAGTAAAAATTTTGTCTAAAAAATTTGGTTCCAGTAATCACCGCATTGTGTAGTACACACCAATATGGAGGCTGTTTACACGATTTTTACACGGGATTTGTTTTAAATTATTTAAAATTTGAATAAGTTGATTTTGAGAAGGAAAATACACATTTGTGGTAGGATTATGATTATTTGTAACATTTTACATGGGAAGTTTGAATGATTGTGCATGTTTATTGTTTTTTTTGCTATGGACTTTTAAATAGATATCTTTAGACGTTAAAGCGGATTTGACCCATGTAAAAAAATAGCTTCAAATCCGCGGTAACGTCTAAATATTTGGACTAACATTACTAAAACACCCATAATGTAATTGGACAAGCAACTGATAATTATCTTTTCATCCATTCACACATACACTACACCTTTTTGTCATGTTGAGCAATCAATTGGGTATACTTTTTTGTTTGTTTTAAGCAGCATAACAGGGTTCGAATTTAAGCTGGCATACTGGCAAAATGCCAGTTAAAATCTAATAATGCCAGTAAAAATTACTCTAGCTGGCATTTATTTGCAAGTGATTGTTCAATTTGTACGTTTACATAATTTTTTATCTTCTGAGCTGATGATGATGCTTGGCAACTGCCCCCTGCTGTAACTGATGACGTTTACCTTAAAAAACTTATATTTTATATAAATCAATTTTCGATTGCTCTATTTTTTTTCTGTGACTATATTTTGATGGAATTTTTATAGCAGCTAAACACTTTTGATTAGAGCATCCAAGATGGGTGTTCCTAGATGGTTCCTATGGTTTCGTTACAAAAAGAGGTCTGTGTATACATACTAGTGATAAAGATGTTTCTGATATTCAATAGACATCGAGCTTATTATCATTTGTCATATCAGATGATCAAAATACATTGTCATTGTCTATAAAGTATAATAATAATAATAATAATAATAATACATGTAATAATAATAATAAAATACATTATCATGGAAATGCTAGTTGACTACCTCATATTGCCAGTTAAACATTTGATCACTTGCAAAAATCTGCAAGTAGAAAATCTTGCTAAATTCTAACCCTGCATAAATAAGAGTAAAAGCCATCTGTAGTTAAGATTTAAACACTTCGTTCAATAGTATTTTGATTTAAGTCAACTTGTCCCCTTTTTAAACTTGTCCGTAAACTTGTGCCCCTATTTTTTATTATTATTAATTTATGTCAATATATGATAAATTATCAGAGTTTTAGATAAATCTTGCAAAAGAGTTATTGAAATTGACACCGAGATACAATTTTAGCCTTTTGTGTGCTATATATCTCATGTATGTCAAATTAAGTTGAGGTCTTGTTTATTATATCAACAAAAAAGAACATGAAAATGATCACATAACAAAAACATGTAATAATTCCATTTATGGTACAAAACAGACCATTCCTATATTTATAAGACATTTTTTCGAATCCAATGATTAACATAACCAACACTACACCTGAAGAGAATAACTCCCTTAGATTCATTAGAATAAATGATAAAACCCAAAATAAAAAGGTAAAGGAAACTGCATATAAGACCAATGTTAGACCTCAGGTTGAATATTGTTCCACAGTTCGGCATCCTTAGCAGAAATACTTAATTTATAAGATAGAGCAAGTACAAAGATCAGCTGCTAGATATATTTTTAATGATTATGACTATACAAATAGTGTCTCCAAAATGATATCTGATCTTAATTGGCAAACCCTTGAGCAGCATCAAAACATCCGTGCTGTAACCTACTTGTATAAAATCCAAAACAACATTATCTTTGTTGACCACCAACACCTTACTCAAACAAGAAATCTGAACTACCTGATACCTTAGTTGAGGACATAATACCATCAAAATTCTTTCCTAGGAGCATCCGTCTTTGGAATAGCATTCCTCTAACTGTTCTGTCTAGCCCCAGTTTTAACATCTTTACTGAGAGGCTTGACCCATTCTACAAGTTCTTATTTCCACACTATGTCTTTTAAATTAATAATCTTGTAGAACTTTCATTTCTTTTATCTTTTTAAATTTGCATATAAATAATGTCTTCCAGTGTTTTTTTTTCACTTTTGGGGGAAGGGGGTCGGTGCCCATTGGAGGGGGAAAAATGCAATAGGAGGGGGATTTTTATACAGATCTAAAATATTGATGTGTCACATGATAAACTTGTTGGGATACCAGGAGTAGCTCCCCTTACCTATATGAAAAACCTTGCTTAACAGTAAGTCTTACAGGCATAAAATAAAGCATTTTTCGGCAGTTAGTTGCAAAAAAATGATATTCATTGCAGGCAAACTTAGGCTGCCATATTATAGGGGGAAATTTCAGCTTTGAGGGGGGAAAAAAACATACTTTTTTGAGGGGGGAATGGGGAGAATTTCGGAAATATTTTGGTGAAAAAAACACTGTCTTCTATCAACAGTTTCCTAAAACGCGCCTGCTAGTCATAATCAAAATTGATTGTTAAGCAGTATAATGTCAATGTAGATGTAAACTATGGTAATGGCAATAACACTTATTGAATTTGTATAAAACTAAATGTAATTATCTTTTTAGACAATTTTATGCCAATGTCCAGGGATTTTTTTTTGGCTTATTTTATAGCCGATATTCGGTCATATTCCCAATTGAAAATAGTATGCTATTTTCCCAATCAACGGGTTAAAATTCCCAATTTAATGTTACAAAATAAAAAATATTGTATAACAAATTCAAGTCTTTGAAAATAAGGGCTTCTTCACTGTTATGATGCATAAATGTTTGAAGATGCTATCCTAGACAATGATTTTTTGCATTCAGTTAATCACTGCAAAATGTAACTATGTAAGTCATGCATTTTTTCCCAATCTTTTACAAAACTTCACTAAAATTCCCAATTTCATGGGTATGGGTCATGTTCCCAAAATCCTGGCAAAAAAAAAACAATCATGATGTCTGTTTCACTGTTGTTTACTGTTTAAGTTTTAGTCTTTATCATTCCTGTGACTTGTACAGGTTCCAGATAAGCAGACCTTGAACAATTATGTTTTAAATTGACACACTCTTTCAATATTGAAAACAATACTCGCCAACGTAAAGTTTTTTGGCACTTCTAATCTCTGTTTATCTTTCGTCATCCTTTAATCCATTCAGGGTAGGGAATAAGATCAAACAGATGGACAAAATATTAGGTGTAATAACCATTAATTGCTCCACTTAGTTGAACATTCAATTTGTATTTTGATTGAATGCTTGCAAACTTGGCTGTTTTTGTTAGTATTATATTAAAGTGTGTGTGCTTGCATTATGGTCATTGAAATGCATATAAAAAAACATGTTATATTATTAATTATCAAATGTCAACAAAATTTATAACATATATTTTATTACAGCTGAAATTTTTAACATATATAGTCGTACATTAAAAACAATTTAGAAACATTGATTTACAACACAATAGTGACAAATTGACAATGATTCATGTCAACTTGTCAAGTAATAATCTGTATCATTTCTTGCTCTGTCAAACAAAATATTTTTATAATTTCAGGCATTAAAGATGACAAAGTTCGAGTAATAGCTATAGATTCAGTGACTGGACAAGTGATTAACAGTAGTGTTCAATATACCCAATCAGATAGTTCCTCCACTGGAGATTCTGTAGATGGAAGTCTTCCAATAGAGACCTTAACATCAAACTCAAAGGAATATAATACTTTCCAATCTTTAACACTGGATAACAGTGACGGGTCAGCCATCATTAATGATGGCACAATTTATGCAACAACTGGGTTTTCCAGTGCAAATAACACAGTGTCAGCCATAGGTGATAATACTGGAAATTTATCTTTTCTGACTCAAGCCGGGAGCCAAGTGTCTTCAGGTGGTGCAGTGACAATACCTCAAGTTATAATTGTTGATTCTAAAGATGGTGCAAGCCTGCTTGGCAAAAGACAAGGTGAAAGTTTATCTCAAAACTCACTGGTGAATAAGATTATAATTACTAAAAACACAATCTCTAGTCAATCTCAGGGGGTTCCAATACAGGTTCAGACACTGCCTGTGACTCAAACAGCTGGTACTCAGCCAGGTTCAACAGATGTATTACAAGGACAAAAAACTCCTACAAAGACTATTACAATTTCTCAACAAGGGATAGTTTCACCAGGAAAAGGAATAATGATGGCACAGGTGGCTGGTACTCCTCCAAAATTGCCAATTAATAAATTACCAATATCGCCAGCAAAAACACCAACCAAAATAACAATGATACCTATGCCTGTGCCAGGTAGATCACCTCAGAGAATTGCCCCAGCAGGATTGGGTCAAACATTATTAAGTAATTCAAGCACATCAACTGTGCAAGCTACTATTACAATGTCCCCTTCTAAAGTGATGAAGCAACCAGGGACAGTTCATGTGGTAAGGCAATTTGATATCCTTTGATTTTCAAATAAAATTATTGATTTATTCCTTTTGATAAAATTGTAATAAATTATTTGGAATAATGTTTAATTAAAATTGAACTTTTTTACACAATGATTGTAAAATCATATCCATATCATTTTGTAAAGTAGTCAGTGGTTAAATTACAATTGTTATCCTCTTGCTCATTTTTGAAGATAACATGTATCGTTCAGAAAGTAAATTGTTCGGTTTATTGGGGATGAAAAAAATATTTTAAAAAGTCATATTAATTCTAATGTGGATTGCATTAACATTTTATAAATTTGATACTTTTCTTTTTCCGTTAAAGATACAGAAACCAATTCAACCATCAATTAGCAATGCAACTGTGTTACATGTACCAAGAACTGTCGCTACTAATGCACAAGGTGTAAGACAAGTGTTGCCAGCTAACCTACAGCAGATCCATGTTCCTGGAAACAAATTTCATTATATTCGTCTAGCTAACCCTTCAAGTTCCACAGGTAGTTATTGCTTTACAAATGATTTAAGTATTGCTGTACAGCATTGGCCTTGTGATAGAGCATTTGTTTATTAGCTCACCTGGGGACAATGTCCTGAAGGTGAGCTTTTGTGATGGCCCATTATCCATCGTCTGTGCGTGTGTTTGTCCATGCATCAACAATTAAAACAACTTCTCCTCCTAAACCACTTGGCCAAATTTGCTGAAACTTAGCAGGGATGTTTCTTGCATGAAGCTCTACCAAGGTTATTCAAAGAATTAAATTCCATAAAGAAGTCTGGTTGGCATGGCAACCAAAGTATTTTTTCCCCCAAAAAAACTAAAAAAATCTTGTAAAAAAACTGAAAGAGCTGGAAACATCTTTTAATGGATGCCTGCCAAGTTTGTTCAAATAAATGCCCTAGTGTCAAAATTGGCCCCGCCCCAGGGGTCATTGATATTCCTTATATGTATATAGTAAAAACTAAAAAAAAAATCTCCTTGTAACTATCCAAAAGAGCTAGAGCTTAGATATTTGGCATGAAACATCTTTCAAGTGGATTTTTACCAAGTTTGTTCAAATAAAAGCCCTAGGGTCAAAATTGGCCCCGTCCCAGGGTGTCATTGATTTGCCTTCTAAGTAGAAACTTAAAAAATCTTGTAAAAATCCCAAAGAGTAAGAGCTTAGATATTTAGCATGAAACATGTTCTAGTGTACTATATCTACCATGTTTGTTGAAATAAACCCACTATGGTCAAAATTAATAAATTATGTCAATGTTTACTTTGTGATATTGAAATGGACTTTATGTATAAAGCTATATTTGGATGTTTAATTGTCTATAATTCAATATTGTTGCCTCTGACTTCAATCCACTGGCCTTTCACTGCTGTCGGTTTGAATCCCACCTCAGACTTTAGATACTTTCATGTGAAAAAGCTATAAATCTAGCTTACAGGTCAGTGGTTCTACTCTGGTGCCTGCCTGTGCTTTAGAAAAGGAGATTCCCAGAAATGAGAAATGTATGTTTTAGGCCATTTTAGTTTAACAGTAGCAGTGAATTTGATACAAAGCATGCACATTAAACTTGAAATCAACCTGATAATGTATAATTTAGAACTAATTTTTAAAACCTGTTGGAACATATGTCAACAGCTACTGTTTGTTGTATTATCTGATGCAGTGTTGTTGAGGACATGAGGAAAAACATATTTTTTCCACTTCTGAATTAAGGGACTTGAATAGAGTGACAAGTAGATAATAGGGAAAATAGTGATACATATTTAATGAGTAACCCTGAGGTTAGATTAATTTTGTATGCTTCCACTTCAAAGTGGGAAGCATGTGGTAATGAGTCTCTAGGTTCATATATTCATACTGACATCCTGTTATCATTGTCTGGGATAAATAAACATGGTTTATGTGATGTGGCAGGATCAATAGACAACCCCTATTTATTTTTAGGTCATTGGGTCAAAGGTCACATTGACACTTATTGTAAAATCCTTGTTTGATCAATAACTTGAAAAGGAATAAGTCATTTTTCATGTTCATTGGTAGGGACTTTGTCAATGGCCAATTGATGACTCTATTGACTTTGAGGTCATCAGGTTGAAATAACACTATAAATGTAAAGTTTTTGTCTGGTCAATAATTTTAGAAGTTTATGTACCTTAGTTGAGACATTGCCCATGTCCAGTAGATAACCCGTGTTGAGTTTAAGGTAATTAGGTCAAAGGTTAATGACACAGTGACACTAGGTGTTCCAGAAAATGATTAAATCCTTGTACAATCAGTAACTTGAAGAAAAAAGATTAAAAGCTTAAGATTTTTTTGTATGGGAATTATTGCCCATGGCCAATGGATGACCCCTGATCATTTTAAGGTCTCGGTTATACGTTTATACTTGATCTGAAATCCTATAAAAAAATCTGGATTTCCTTCAGTGATAGGTCTGTGAAATTTATTAGTTATAATATTATTTATGTAATATTACTTATTAATATAATACTTGACCTTTTCCCATGTGGTTAAGGTCATTTAAACCACTAGCTCCTCACCGCTGTTGGTTCAAATCCTGCCAAGGACTTCACATTGTTTGAGGTGATGAAGCTATCCAGCTGGCTTATGGAATGTTGGTGGTTCTACTCAGGTGCCAGTTTTTGCCTGATATTATGTATGGAGAAGGGACACCTGAGGTCTTCCTCCACCAGTAAAGCTGGAAAGTTGCCATATGGCCTTTATAGTGTTGTAACAACATAAAACTGAACTGAAAAAAAAAACTTCATGAAATATGCACGAGTAAGTAAATGCCTCTGTGAAAGGACTATGAGCACTTGTTTTGTATTATTGATTATTAAAACAAGAGAAAAGACTTCAAAACAAATGAACCAAATCCAATAAAAAAAACTATTGCATTAGATTATGTATTCATTCATTAGCATTATGCACAGTTCTGATTAATCACTGTTTAAATTTTTAGGTGCAAGAGCGCAGCTTATTCCTGTGTCTGTTCCATCTGGGCAAACTGGACAACCAGTGAAAATAACTATACCAGCTCAATCAACCAATCAGATCGTAAGAAACTGTTACTCTTTTGTTATTGAACTTCATAGGATAAATAAAAAATTCATGTTTTATATTATTGTATGTTATGTTTTGATCAAGGTAACTTAACTTAAATAATGCTTTGCTGTTTTTTTTCCTATTGACCGTTAGAATTTATTGTGTGTTAAACTTAAAAAAGTGTCAAAGGTTGGTTTTTGTTTTTGTTTTTTTTGTTTGTTTTTTTAATTCTATATTTCTGGCTGGAGAAACACTTCGGTTCCCTTAATTTATAGCTATGGAACAAGAATGATAAGTCATCATTTAAAGCTCAGTTTGTAGTTCTTTCAAATAGTTATTAGGTAGAAGCAATAGGCATTTCTAATATAGAATAGATTTATGTAGAATTTTGTCTACTTCGTCAATGTTCAACAAACTTTAATTTTTTTTGATGTTTTCTTATTTATCAAAAGTATTAAAAAGGAAAATTATTAAAACCATTTAGTTAAAATGTATGTGTATGCTTTAAACATGAATTGACATCTTTTTATAGGTGACGTCTAGGCCAAACGTATCCACTGTGCAGAGAATTATACTACCGGCAGGATCAAACCAGGTGGCTATAAGACCTGCACCTCCAGCTAGTGTAGCTCAAGGTACCCAATTGATACGGACTACCCTTCCTGCTGGTACAGGGACCTTGGCACAGATAGCACCCAGTGGTACATCATTTATATCCACCGGACCTGGTAGTACTCCTGGTGTGCAGGGATTTGCACTTGTGCCAGCTTCTTATTTATCACAGGTAAATTAAAATGTTTTTAAGTTTATTAACATTGTCTATGTGAGGTAAAAATCTCATAGTCATTAATTTTATTAAATGACTTAATTAAACAAGAATATTTGTTCTGACAATTTTATCAGTCCTATTTTACTACTGAATTTTGTGACAATATTACTCAGTAAAATTGCAGGGGAAAAATAACAGAATTACAAAAAGTAGGAATGCTTATTATATGAATTCCCCAGCTTAAACAAATAAACTTTATACATATCTAAGTTAAACTTAAATACAGCTCCTTTTGGAAATTCATGGCTAAATGAAAGAAAAATTACATTTTTCAATTCAGATCCAGCAACAGGTACAGGCAAAACCAGTGGTTACCACCGTCGCCAGTAGTAACACAACAGAAGCAATAGCAAAACAGATTCAGACTCGGAATGAATATGTACCTATAGCTAGTAATAATCCAGCTCTTAGTGCTAATACACAAACTAAAAATGTTAATGGGTAAGTTGTTACTATGCACTTTTATACATGTATATTTAAAGTTAGTTTTAAGTAAAATTTGTCTGAGTGTTGATATTTATATAGAGTGGTGGAATGTGACACTAGTTTTTTACTATGAACAAATTGTGTCACATTTAAACCAGAATAGGTTCATTTGTTATTTAGTATTTATTTTGAACTTGCAGCTCAGTTTTTCACAAAATTTATGCATGGTAATATTAAATAAAAATAAAAACCAAATTGTTTTGATTTCTACACGCTTTATATAAAATATTAAAAAATATGTGAATTTAAATTAAATGTTGATGTGTTTTCAGGGCATCACTAGATGGTGCTGGTGGTGCTAGACAAAGGAAACCTTGTAATTGTACCAAATCTCAATGCTTAAAACTGTAAGTTTGTTATCATCTATCACACAAAACGTATTGTAATATTGATAGAGAAATGTTAGTTCTTACTATGTTTAATATCTTAAATGGATTTCTCCATATTTCAATAGACCTTCTACGGAATTAGGAATATTTTAGGTTTTTCTTAGCTAATCTGAGATACAAACTTTTACAGTTACATCTTTGAAAATAAGCACAGCATGTTGACTTATCTGTTGTGATTGATAGTGCACCATGAATGATGAAGCTTTATCGGTAAAAGTTTGTTTGTACTGGGGAATAGGCTTTGAAAAACCCACATTTGCCAAATTCCAGATAACATCTTATTTGGACAAAACTATTCATCATTCTTAGAGAAAATTTCAAAATAAGTTTTTGACTGAAACTAAATAGACTATGACCACATGGCAGAGAAGTGCAAGCTGATCTTGATCTTAACTGGTCACATGTATATTCCAATGCAGACAGCAGGATAACTTTATAAAGAACTTATTTTGCTTTTATTTTGTTTAACTTTACATAGTTAATGTGATGAACATTCTGCTGGCATTGGCAGCTCACATTTGATGGAAATCAGTTAGAATTTTATTCACTGCATTATGATTTTACAGATACTGTGATTGTTTTGCGAATGGTGAATTTTGCCATAGCTGTAACTGTACAAATTGTGCCAATAACCTTGAACATGAGGAGGATAGGTCAAGAGCCATTAAATCTTGTCTTGATAGAAACCCGCTAGCATTCCATCCAAAAATAGGTAAATATTCCTGCCTGTGTGACAAAACTTAATGAAATTGAGTTTTTTACAAGTTTGCAGTAGTTATTTATCTATGTAATAGAATTAAATAGGAAATGTCCTGTGTGTTGTATAGTTTAATGCATGTTAGTGTAATTTACAGGCTGTTTTATTTCTGTAGCAAAAAATGGGTGGTTTCAGATTTCACAGTTATGACCCCTTTACAAAGAAAGTAAACATCTAATTTGGCATTTACAGTGTGGTTGTTAAGTCGAAAAAAAATTTTCATCTATGTCTGTAAACTGAAACAATAAATTATGTTATTGACTAGGTAAATATTATGATTCAGATGTGTAAATAAATTTAGAACTAGTTTGACAAGCTTTGGTAGTAAAGGACATTAGTAGTGTAACAATTTTACTGATCATCAATGTTTATTTTTTTTTATCCAGGTAAAGGTAAAACGGGGGAAAAAGATAGAAGACATAATAAAGGATGTAATTGTAAAAGGTCAGGGTGTCTCAAAAATTACTGTGAATGTTATGAGGTAAGAGTTTATAAGTAACTTATAGTATAATTAGAATAGTTGGGGTATTTTTTCAGAATGGTTAAAAATTTATCCTAGACCTAGTTGTGCACATTTTGGTTGTATTGAACTCATCAGTTTTTATGGTCCTATGATATGTTATATGAAGTGACTTTTATTGTAAAAGCTTTAATCGCCACTGAAAACCACATGAACTAAGGAAATGGATACATAAAGTTACTTTAGGAGAAACTGCTAGTTCTTCAGTATACAAAGTATTACACAGGATCTATGTTAAAGTTTCTCTACCATGATTTAAGAGGGGTAACTGCAAACTTATACTTCTATGCACTTTTCAGTGATGTTGAGGTCTGTCCTAATTAAAAACATAACTGTGTGTGGGTCAACAGCTTAAAATCTCATCCAATGGATTAGTAAGTAAATTTAATTGAGCAGTACTGGAGCAAACTCCTTCCACTTAATTAATAGTCAGATAGTGTTATACCGGCCCATTGCACCCACTCTACATTTCTATATACAATATACCATATATATTTACAGGCAAAGATTATGTGTAGTTCATCATGTAAATGTGTTGGTTGTAAAAATTTTGAGGAAAGTCCTGAGCTCAAAACGTTGATGCATCTGGCAGACGCGGCAGAGGTACGGGTACAACAACAAACTGCGGCAAAAACGAAACTTTCCTCTCAAATATCAGACCTTCCATCCAGACCAGTATCATCAGTAACTGGAGAAAGGTAAAGTTTTAAAATATATGTGTGGTTATTACAGTATTACATCCATCCATCATACTGTAAGTGAAGAAAAGTGTAGGTCCATGCATGCAGATGAAAATGATTTCATCGTTTTTCCATTTTGACAGAAAAATACATACCATATTTCTCTTGATTAAAGTAAAAAGAAGCTATTAATATACATTAGTTGCAGCAAAAATGTTTTGACCATAACATCTTCATATTGTAAGCTGGGATGTTTATACTTACTTAGACCCAAAATACCTTATGTGGTCAAAGTATCATCTGTGGATACTTGACTGAAAATTTCGGTAAACACGACACTCAAATATCTGTGGGTAGTAGACTCAAAATATTGTGGATAGGAACTTCATTTTGCCTTTTCCAGATCTGGCTTTGACCCCCAGATTAATACAGGAACTTGCACTATTACTTTGTAATTTGTTTTCAAATTTGGGATTGATAAATATAACATATAATATCCCTGTATATATTTATTTCCAGGCTTCCGTTTTCATTTGTAACATCAGAAGTGGTAGAAGCAACATGTGCGTGTTTGTTAGCTCAGGCGGAGGAAGCTGACAGACAGAAGATGCCTCCTGTTGTCCAGGAACGAATGGTGATAGAGGAGTTTGGTAGATGTTTAATGCAAATTATAGAATCAGCTAATAGAACAAAAGGTATTTTTACCAGTTTATTTGATAGTTTATTGGTATAATTTTAGCAGATTCGGTAACAAACATGATACTGTCTAATTTTGATCCTCTTTGAAGGAGTGTAAATTGCTTTGCTGAGTGTCTGTTGGATTGTCATTTTGTACAGAACACTTTGTCCCACCAAAAACTAGATAATTCTTTGGCCCACATTTCATAGATTTAGTTTTTAGGTTAGTCATGACTAGAAGATGATCCCTATTTATTTAGTTCAGTAGGTCAAAAGTGATGATCACTGTGGCCTTCACCTGTTAAAGTTTTTTTTAGACCAATCAATAGACAACACTGGTCTACAATCTCAAGATTTAGTATGAAGGTTTGTCATGAATAGCAGACACTCTGTATTGCTTTTGCTGCCAAAGGTCAAGATCACCATGACTTTGCAGTTAACAACAACAAAGTAAGACTCAGCGGGTGCTGTGCTGTCATATTTTTCAAATCATAAATGCTTAAAATACAACTTTGATTTTATTGTGGTTTTCTTTTCAGCCCCAGATCCTGATGACACTGGCTGATACTAGAATATTTACAGAAATAGCACATTGTAGATCTCTTTAGGCAGCTCTGAAGAAGAATGACACAACCCCCACTTTCATCTTTTTAACCTACATTTCCCCCCATGTGATGTCACAGAATCTTTCATATGCTTGAAGGATATGCTTACCACAAGATGAAGACATCGGAAAATATTACATGTTTACTAGAAGATATAGCTGATAGCTGTATATGTGAAATTTATAACACAAGAGTAACAGATGTTCATATGTAAACATGCCATTGTAGGGGAAATTCTTGTAGGATCTTGCCTTTTCCTTACTATCATATTAATAGCCCTTATTTCCCAAATCTCAAATGATTTACCAATTTCTTTTAGCCTTAACAGAATAAGCCATTAATGAGTAACTATCACTTTACATCTATACATGCTAACAGCTTTACCATCACTACAGATCAGTCATTGAGGACAATCTCATCATGTTTATACATAATTGCAACTAACATGTCAACTTTTGTTATCAACTCTCATCTATACAAACGTTGCATCTTGGCCTCCAGTTTATTTGTCCGCAGTTGATGACTTATTAAGTCTTTTATACATGTTTTCCCTTGCCTCATGTACCTGTCACAGAGAAGTTATTGTCATTTCACATCTGTACATGTTGCCTCCACTATTTCTGAGTAATTATCACTGCATATCTATACATACACATGATATATAGAACATTTTCCCTTTGTTTCATTAACACATACACATGTAGGTAACCATGAAGAGTAATTATCATCATACATCTATACATTATCATACCATGATGTCGCCTCAAGTACCATACTGCCATTTAAGCTTGTGTAAAAATAAGCAGTAGTTTTGTTAAAGATAATACTTCATTTGTAAGATAACATTGTCCCCTAATGTATTCAGCAGCTAGAAAATGAAGAGCCTTACTTGTGATGTAAATATGCTGATGTTTCTTAATTACTTTTATAAATTTAAATGTGTCAGATTGGTGTATTTAACCCCTGTGATTGTCCTTGGTTTATTGTTACCAATACCACCTGAATAACCATATTTGTGATCTATGAAATGAATAGAATATTCACAATTTTAGCCTGTACAAGACTTAAGGTCAAAGTTTAACTATTTGTAAATAGACTTTAAAACTGCAAGGCTTTGATTGGTGCACTTAAAGAGTTTAGTTAACCAGTTGGAATAGGGCAATAACTGGTCTACAAACATTGTAAGATTTAAAGCAACTATATACAGACACATGGTAATACAGTCTAAATTTGAAAGTAAAGAATAGTATATGTTATTAGAGCTTAATTTTCTAACAAATACTTTTTTTTCTGGGGTAAAAAAAATTCAGAAAGGGATATATACATAAAATCTAAGGCAGGACTTAACTGTATAAGACTTGGTATGGTGGGTTGGGAATATAAATTGGTGCTCTGCTTCTAAAAGTGCTTATGAAATTATTCAATGAATTTCTTGTTATATATTTGTAAGGCAGTCCAGATAGTGGTCACTATCATTCAAAATATTGTTGTATTTCTCGTTATTTGAAACTTTCTGACGTTTAAACCGGTAACATCCTGCTTTTCAAACAAATACAGTTGATCTTTGTAGAAATCATTTGCATATGAAATTGATGGTGTCCAATTCTGTTAAAGAAAATTGAATATTCAATGAACTTTATTAGATGCAGTAATTTTTAAGATATGAGCCACGTCACGACAAAACCAACGTAATGCGTTTGCGACCATCATGGATCCAGACCAGCCTGCGCAGTCTGATCAGGACCCATGCTGTTCGCTTACAAACCCTATTACAAGTAGAGAAACTGATAGCGAACAGCATGGATCCTGATCAGACTTTGCGGATGTGCAGGCTGGTCTGGATCCATGCTGGTCGCAAAAGCATTATGTTGGTTTGTCATGACGCGGCTCAATTATATCTTTCTCCTTGCCCCAGATATAATGTTAAAAATCTATTTTTAAATTGGAAAAAAAATCAAGAAAAAACTTGTTGCTTTAAAGTGGATTGGTCTATAATATGCACATTTTCCATAAGTATTTCAGATATTGATTAAAAACAATAGAAATGTGTCATTTGGATATTCTTATGAATATTTCCCTATAACAAAATGTTGATAGAATTCCAACATGATTTAGCATGAACATATATGATGAATAATAATAATTTGTTTAGGCACTCTTTATCTACTATTGATATGTCATATTGGATCATGTATCAAATACCAACAGCATCCATATTTAATTCATCATAGTTTTCAAGTAAATACTATCAACTAGGGATGGCAACGAGTAACCGGTTAACCGAGTACTCGATGGAACGTCCGAATATCGGTTATCAAAATTGATATTCGATTACTCGGAAAAAATATTTAATTTCTATTCTTAAATTCTTATCTGTATAAATACTTGTTAAATGCAATCAAAACATCCTTGCAGAGGTGTGAAAATGATATCGTTAATTTAACGAGGCGATCAGCAGTTTGACACGCTAATGGGATTGAACACAGTCCTGTGTCGTTTATGCATTCGGCCTTCTTATGATATTTAATCACCTTTAAATATTAGACAGTTTGTAGTCGAAACTTATTAATTATAAAAATGTAAATATATACGGACTATTATGTTGTAGCTTTGTATTTTGCTACGAGCAGCGGTGGAAAAATTGGTATCTCGCGAGACCGAAGGTCGAGCGAAATATCAATTTTCCAACATTGCATAGAAAAATGCTTAGGCTCTTAAAGCTACTACAACATAATTTTCCTTTTATTATATACCTTTTCGTTTGAATTATAAATGATTTTCATTATACTACACTTCTATAAGAAATTTCAGAAAATGAAATGTAGCTGTCAAGAAATAAATTCTTGACTGACGGATGGATAAGTAATTTGTGTAAAACCAGCCACTCCTTAAATAATGTTTTGTTCCCGTTTTCAAATGTTACGTTGTGCAAAGCTTAGATCGAAACAAACGTCAAAAATAGTCTGGCACTCACATATATGGTACCGTATTTGTCACTAACATAATACGGAATTTTCTATCCGTTGAAGCGTATTTGCGCTTAAGTTCATCCTGTATTTTAGGGAGAAAAATTTGTAGGTATATAATAAATGCTGTCTTTGACATTTCTTATGTTTATATTTATATATGTATTTCTTGCAGTTCTATTTATAGTTACGAATTCTATGAATTAAAATAGAAAACGAAAGTAGCATGCAGGCGGTGTTGATATTGTGTGATAAAACTTTAAAGACCATTGGAAATCATCCGAGTAACCGAGTACTCGATCGCAACAATGACCGAGTACTCGAGTATTGATTTTGGTATTCGTTACCATCCCTACTATCAACATAAGTATTTATGGTATTACAGATCTTCGATTATAGACCAATTCACTTTAACTTTGACCCATTTGAATGTGAATAATGAATTTGTCCTGTGCTGAATTTGAAATTATCCACAGCATATTGAAATAAGACATGCATTTGAGGTTTATATTGGTTATTGAGTTGAAATGTGATATTGTATTTTCTTTCAATGGCTTTTCCTAGCTTGATAATTTAGATATATAGTGTTGCATGCATATTATGCTATTATGGCAAAAGTTAAAATGCCTATTAGAAAATTTATTGTAAGAAAATGAGTTGTTGTCATTTTTAGATCAGATATTTGCTCAGTATTGTATATCAATTATATATGTGAGTTGTTTGTGTAAGCCTTTCATTCATACCCCCTCTTGTCATCTATTCCCGCCTACTTCTTAAACACTAGTATTCTCTGTCATTTGGTGATGGGTGAAATACAAGATAAATATCTTAGTGGTTTGTTGTGAAAATGAATTTTAAATTTGAATAAAATTAAATACCTGAAGGTACCAATTATCATGTTGAACCTGATGTAATCAATGCACACTGAAACATAGTGTTGTAACAAGTGTTTAAGCATTGATAAATAAACTGGCACATTTCGGAAGCATGCATGGCAAGATTTAAATGCTAAGGGGGAAGGTTATTAACTTGTGTGTTTTGTGTTGATATATTCACCATAGATATGGCATAGATATACAAATACACTTTAATCAGAGACCAATAATATTTATATAGACATTATTTATTCAGTAATAAAATCATTATATTACTTAAACATGTATATAAGTGCTCTTCAAATCATAATAGTGACAAAGAAATGCTTTATTATTGCTGGAAAAAGGGTAAATAAGGATGAAATCACCAGGAACAATGTATGAAGTGTTATTTTCTTGGAAATATATATAGGTTATCATAGTAGTTTTTTTTTCCTTGAAATATTTTTCCTTATTTACTTTCCAAGTTTTCATGTTGTCCAATTGATTAAAATCTGATTACTTATTTTTGAAAAATGCACTTTTTTTAAAATTTCATTTCTTACTTTGTTATAGTTTACCATTTTAGTTGATTCTAAATGAATTTGTATCTGTAGTGGACAGGCTTTAGATCTTGAAATTAACTTTTTTCAAACCATAAACAAACTGAAACCTACAATTTTAAGGAAATTGTTAATTTTAAGATGTTGTAGGTAAGTTACTTTAAACAGGGTTTCAAATTTAAGATAATATTATGTATCCATCATAATCTGCTTGCCTCCAGGTTTGTGTAAATTTTCATTAATTTTTTTTTAAGAAATATTAATTTTGTAAAAATGTCATACATGAATAACGTAATTAAACCCAAGACAATTATTCACATACTATGCCTGAAACATGTCAATATGAGAAGAAATAGCATTGACTCTGCAAGCAAAATAATATAATGCAAAGTGGTATTTGGATTGTGAATTTTTTTTCATTTCTTAAACTATTAAAATATTTTTCTTAAAAAATTTTGAAAGTTTTTATTGACTCATCTATTGGTGTGCAAATTTAAAAATGTCAGTATAGACATGGATTAGTGGATATACATACATCTATTGGACAATATCTCAAGTATTTGTGAAAAGTAAACTATGTTGTAATAGTCTACGGTACTTGTGTTTAAAATAATATGTAGAACGTTAATGATCTCAAGGTAAACATTATAAAGCATTCTGTTATTTTTTTATTTCAAATCCTGAACTGCGTTAGGGCTTTATTGTTGATCTTTTTTTGTTTTTCTTTATTTCAAAGCATGTACAATGTATACTGTATTCATTTGAGATGTGATTTATTGCCATGTGTTGTCAAAAATGCAGTTTCTGGTATGTACAAGTATGTATAACAATGTACCATTCACATTTCAAGGCTTCCATTTCTTGACAACAGTTCTAGATCACATTTTGGTATGTCTGTAAAAGTGCAGATTTCACATTTTCACATAATATTGTGAAGGGGCATTTTTCACCTGACTGCTGATTTGAAAGTTTCACATTTTTGTAATGTGAATATTGAATAAATGGTTATCAACCAGGCAGCTTTTTCACATTTTGATTACTGAAATGCAAATCTTCACATTTTAATGAAATACTTGTTTATGTGAAAATGTTACATATATCCATGTTCATTAACAAATTTCACATGTGTCTGTGCAAGTTTCACATTTTCACATGTTTATCAGATTTTTATGCATGTTTTTTATCCATGTTGTTATGAATGAATGATAATGTGCAATAAATATGGAAAGTAGTTTATGTGTAAAATTAAATCATTAATTTGTAGATAGGACAGACATTGTTATATGACATCTTGTGGGCTAGTACTTACCTCTTGTGAACATAGTTCAAAATATTCAGATCATTGTTAAAGGAGTGAGACTAAAATAAGGATTGGAGCACCATATTAAATACCATATTCAAGTATATACAGGACATGCCGCTTGAATGATTAAATGCTCAAATTTCGCCTTTTCACCGAAGGGAACGAACTTTTAAAATATCTTCTTCATCTCTACACACCGATTTATATACAATAATGAATGGAAAATGTAAAAATCTGCGAAAAAAATGATATTTGTCTATTTTATGATCATGATTTCTGCAAGCGTCTAGAGGTACTGCTCTTATCCTGTACTGAGTTAAATCCATTGAATGCCTATAATGAACCTGCCTTGCTTTTGCATTAGGATTAGTTTGTTAGTTGTACAACAGATTTCAGGATTAAAGTGGTTAAATTTAGAATGAAACAGTCTACATCAGATGATATATTGTTGGCTTATTTATTTTGATTATATTGATATTCATTGAGTCAATTATGGTCAGTTCTATATACAAAGCAGGGCAAATTCATTGTGCATATTAAGTAGATTAGAGGTTAATAAAAGGTTAACAGCTGGTGTCATACTCACTTAATTAGGAACAGTTGAGCTGGTCTATTCAATTATCATTGACCACTTTTATTGACCACAGAGTAATTCAGTACTTTTATAGTTCTGTTGATCCAGAGAATTCTGTCATGGGGTTTAAGGTGCTTTTTAGCTTTATAAAGTATCATAGAGTATAATGCTATATTGACTTATAAACCTTTTTAAACAAAAACCCTGGCAATTTAAGAAAAAATCTTCATTTTCATTATTGAATTGTGAAGAGCTCGACGCATAACTGTAATAAATAAAGAAAAAGAAAAAAAAATCATTCTCGTTAAATTGTAAAGAGCTCTGCGTATAACTATAATATAAATATTATGTACATGTATATAAGTTTTTACAAAATGGTGATAACAACGGAAAGTTCCATACAATATCTCAATATTGAGATCTATGACACAAGAGGTAAATATGAGCATACAGGGTGTTGCTAATTTCATTCT